AGCCCATCTGTATCCAAATTTTAAATAATGAAAATCAGGCATAGGCAAACTCCGGTCCTCCAGATGTTTGGGACTACAATTCCCACCATCCCTAGCTAACAAGACCAGTGGTCAGGGATGATGGGAATTGTAGTCCCAAACATCTGGAGGGCCGGAGTTTGCCTATGCCTGATGAAAATAAACTCCAGATGGTATAACATACAAAATGCTTAGATTATAAACCCAGCAAGATTGAAACGCTGTCCCAAAAGGGGATGCCCTACTAGAGAAGTCATTCCTTCTCTCTTCCACTAGTCTAGACAAACCAGACAACCTCCCCTCCTTCCTAAACTGTAACCTGAATTACTCAGCCAGCCCGCTTTTACAGTAAATGTTTGATGGCTGTTGCTTCTCTGACTCAAAACACGTCTTTCACTAGCAAGGCGTTGCCTGCTCTCGAAGAAACCAAATAAATGCCACTGGTTGTTAGTATAATTATGCTGATGTATTTCTCGAATAATGTTGGTGTGTCTAGCTCTGTCTATCTTACATTGGTAAGACCACAAGTGATGTCGGTTGAGCTACTGTCAGGATGCCGCCGGCGGTTCCCGGCTGGTTGCCCAGGAAAGTATAAAGACAAGGAAAAGTTCCTTACCGTTTTTTCTTATTTCAAACTCACAGAGAGAGACTATAGAACCCAGCCTCTTGGATAATAGTGTTGTCCCAAGTGAATTTCCACCCGCTATCTCTTCCGCTTCCTCATTCATCATTCTCATCACCTCCTCTACGGGTGTCACTAACTGCCCTCTGTCTTCGAGCTCTTTGCTCTCCTACTTTTAAAGCTCGCTGGGTTCTGGGAGAGGGTGGGTCTGGAATGACGTGTCAGCCAGCTGCTGCTCCCGCTCTCCCATGATTTCCCAACTTTCCCCCTCATCTGTCTCTGAGCTGTGACTTTCCGCAAACCCCTGTAGTAAATCTACACTATCTTCCTCTTCCTCCAGGATGTGGAGGTGGTCTCCACCATTCCTCCTCCTCTGTGCCATCCCTGACACCACCCCCTTCTCCAGCGTTCTTCTCCTCTGCCACAGGAAGGTAAAAGGTGTTTCCATGCGCTCTGGTTTCCAACACAGTCCTCCATTGTGCAAGAAGCAGTTTGGTCATGCTGGCCACATGACCCAGAAAGCTGTCTGTGGACAAACACTGGCTCCCTTGGCCTAAAAAGCGAGATGAGCACTGCAATCCCATAGTCGCCTTTGACTGGATTCACACTGCCGACCTTCTGATTGGCAAGCCCAAAAGGCTCAGTGGTTTAGACCACAGCACCACCCACGTCCAAGGGTATTGAATGTTATACCCATCAAGAAGCTGCAAACATTAGGGTTTGGAGAAAGCAAAGAAGGTAAACATAAGATGCCTATAGATTCAGGTAGATAGCCGTGTTGGTCTGATGCAGTCGATTTTTTTTTTTTTAATGTCCAGTAGCACCTTAGAGCCCAACTAAGTTTGTTCTTGGGATAAGCTTTCGTGTGCATGCACACTTCTTCAGGATGTCTATGTATGAGAAGCTGCATAAAGAATCATGGCAAGAAAAATTGATGGACTATGCAGAACTGGCAAAACTGACATATAAGCTACGGGACAAGGATAACTGTGACTTTAAAGATGAATGGGAACCCTTTACAAAGTATTTGAAGACGCAACAAAGTGAACTGGACTCCTTGGCTGGCTTTGAATAAACATTCACAAACTTTTTATTGATAATAATCACCTAAATAGTTTGAGGATCTATACAACTTTGTAACACGCAGAAAACAGCATTCTCAGAGAAACCAAAGACTGGAACTGAGGGAAGCTGGGGGGTGGGGGTGGGTGGGTTTTGTGTGGAAGGGTGGGAGGAGGAAGGAAAAATGGGGGGAATATGGATGATATGTTTTTGGATAACATGTTTTTTTTAATTTTGAATAAAAAATTTAAAAAGAGAGAGAGAAGTTGCAGTCAGTGTTCTTTATTTTTTGTACAAGTTAGCTGAAAGTCAGTACAATTTAGTTTAAAGTTTTAGTACAAGTCAGTTGTTTATAATTTTGTTTTTAAAAAAGTTTAAACTTGTAGCTTATTTTTACACCAGATGTTGGGAACTGCTGGCCCTCCAGATGTTGCTAAACTACACTTCCCATCTGCCCCAGCAAGCATGACCAAGGGCATGAGTTGGTGGGAGTCCAACAACATCTGGAAGACCAGAAGTTCCCCACACATCCTACATGGGGTTCACAGGGGTTTCTTATACAAGTGTGCGGCTAGGTTCATACCTCCTTAGCTCCAACTTTTCATCAACACCAGTTGCTCTCAGCCCACTCACCCAATGCCCTTCCTTCTCACAAAACAAAAAACTATGCCAGTCACTTAGTTCAAGGTGTTTGTAATTCATTTCCCATTATTCTTGCACAAAGTTTGGACAAATTCATTCCTAAATCTAACTTTTTCAAGGCGTTTACTTAAGAAAGATGGCAATTATAAGTAGGCAGAAGCAGAAACGTTTGTGAATTGATGTTCATTCAACTTATACTGTTCATTCAACTTATACTTTTCTTATGCTATCAGTTCATAGGTTAAAATAAACATTTCTGTTGAACGACAGGGATGCTGGCTATGAGGAAATCACTAAATATGTATAGCGGTTTATTAATTTTTTTTTTAAGTGAACACAAAACAATCAACATTTCTTATTTCGGTTTCTGAAGAGGCAATCTGGGTGGTGGTGGAGGAAGAGAGAGATCAACTATGTATGCAAGGAAGTTTTTGTGTGCAGAGCCAAACTGCGTCCATAGAGAGAGGATCTTGTACCAGTTCTACGGTTATTTGTATAGACTTGTCCACACCAGAGCAAAATATGGATTTCCACTGGCCTATCTCCTCATTGATATAGGGGTGTCCACATGACACCATCCCCATGCCAGTGTTATCCCAGACCTTGTCCCCTTTAAATGGAGGGTTTCCTAATCCTTGGCAAGGACAATGCCTCTTTGAAACATATGTTCATACAGTGTTCTATGCTTAAGTTTTGGAAGAAAGTGCTGGACTGTGTAACTATGACTATGCAGAAAAAGTTAAATCTTTCGTTGGAGAATAGCTTATTGAACTACCGTACTTTTCCGTGTATAAGATGAGGGTTTTTTACTCTAAAATAATGTTAAAAAACGGGGATCTTCTTATACACGGATAGTGCGTTGGGGGGACTGGTGATTGGTTGCAGCCATGAGCGGGATCTTGTCAGTGGCGATTTGTTGGGTGATTGGTTGCTGTGGCAAGGGCTGCTGTGGATTGGCTGCCACTGTGTCAGTTGGGCATGAAACTGCCGGCTGCTGTTGGCTTTGGCAAGTCCCCTAAAATAGGGAGCATCTTATACACAGAAAAATACAGTATATACCTGCAGTGTGGAAATTATCAATGGGACAACGGAAATGGATTTTCCATGCCCTAATGGTGGCCAAGAGATTGATATTGAGGATTTGGAAAAAATAAAGGTATGGTAAAGGTAAAGGGTCCCCTGACCATTAGGTCCAGTCGTGGCCAACTCTGGGGTTGCGGCGCTCATCTCGCTTTACTGGCTGAGGGTGCTGGCGTACAGCTTCTGGGTCATGTAGCCAGCATGACTAAGCCACTTCTGGAGAACCAGAGCAGCGCACGGAAACACCTGCTGGAGCGGTACCTATTTATCTACTTGCACTTGACGTGCTTTCGAACTGCTAGGTTGGCAGGAGCAGGGACTGAGCAACGGGAGCTCACCCTGTCATGGGGATTCGAACCGCCAACCTTCTGATTGGCAAGTCCTAGGCTCTGTGGTTTAACCCACAGCACCACCCGCATCCCAAAGGTATGATACCCTTCAGTCAATGAACTGACGATATGACATCACTTGCAATTCATGAATGGATATTTGGAATGAGCTTATACAAAATGCAGCAGGCTCTTAACATTTACATAAGCACTAGGACGATAACACTGTACCAATTTATACAAGAATGTATGAGAATATCTCTCAGAGAGAGCGAGAGAGCGCATATTTTCACTTTTATATGTATCGTTGTTGTTGTTTTCCCTCTCACTTTTCCTTCTTTTTTCTCTGTAGCACTTTATTTCTTTTAACTGAAATAACTTCAATAAAAGTCCAAAATGGCCAACACACCCACCCACACCAAGGGGGACAGGTTAGGGACAACAGGGGAGTACATCATGTAGATGGCCCTATATTAAGAGGGAGACAGTCTAACCTGGAAACAGCGGCAATACCTAGTGAGTCCTATGTTCCCACGGACTTGCATTTAATCACACACCTATTCAAAAGAATGCAGTTCATATTTTGGGCAGTTGAGAGGCATGAATAAGTCGACAGTTTACAGAGCCAGCATGGGCAAATAAAATAAATTTAGATTATACAGCCAGACCTGAGATACAGAGCAGTTCAGATCACATTTAGAAGTATTATAGCTAATAACATAATAATAATAAAAAACACAACCAGTTAGAGTCATGTTAAGCTGTAAGGCATTTTTGAGATGTACAATCTCAGAATTGCCTTACAGGTTAACATGACTCTAACAGGTGGTGTGTTTTTTTTAGAAAAAGAATAAACTATGAGTGGTTTAAAGCGATCCTCTCACTGAAAGGAGGTGGGTGGAAGCCCAAAAAGGACTTGGGAAGTAGATCTCATGTGATGACTTCAAAAGAAACTCATAAGATGATGAAAAGGGATGGCAGAGAAATGTGATTCAGTTTGCATTGAAAGGCGAGTTTGAAGAATTTGCACTTTCCGAAATAATATGTCAACTGAAACACCACTATCTCTTGAAATTTGCCCTTTTTTGAATTTTGCAACACGGTTCTCCAGCTAAGAATGTGTATAAAAATTGAATTCAACAATTGGGTACTGGGGAAAATTCATGTCAAAATCCTGATGAATTTTCACGAGTACTTTCTTCCAAGGCGTTTCTCAGAACATTGTGGAAACCTGGAGAAGTAGACTTAAGATAGGAAAAACAATAAACAGAGATTGAGAAATTTGCCTATCCCTAATGCTCAGGTGCTTAAGTTGACTGCAGAACTGAAATGGAGTAAAATGAGAATTCTTGTTCCCAAGATGGCTCCCTCCTTTTTCTTTTCCATGTCCAAAGCTTTACGATTAGGCTGTGCTTATTTGTCATCACACAGCCTCTGGTTTCCAGCAAAACAAACTCACAATTGTTCTGATACCTGAGATAGCATCACATTTTGGCCTGATCTCACACGAGACCACCTCAGGCTTTTCAGAGGGGCTCTTCATCACTTGTGGACTGAGTGTAGACTGAGCCTGATGACTCGGAGGTGAATGTATCGGGGCGTCCACAAGATTTGCAAAATATTTTCGAGAAGACACACTTCTTAAAGAACAATCTGATGTACTTCTTGAACTTCTGTCCCATGAAGAAGTAGATAACAGGATTGAGACAGCAATGGAAAAATGCTAGAGTTTCAGTCACCTGAGCTGCGTAGTCCAAGTTTTTGCTGGTCAGGCATCCTTCCAAAATGCCCACTTCAGCCAAACATTGTAGGAATTGTACAATGCTGTAAGGGGTCCAAAACACAAAAAACACAATCATAACAGCAAAGATCATCTTTACAGCTTTCTTCTTCTTTTCATTTCTGCAGTGGAGCAAGGTCATGACTATCCTTGTGTAGCAAAATAACATGACAATGAATGGCATCAGAAGGCCTAAAATGTTGATCTCCAAGGAGGTGAAAAGGTTCCAAGTTGTGTCGTTCCTGGGATATTCTGCCCTGCACATGGTGTAGTTATAGTAGCTAACAGACTTGCTAAATATCAGCTCTGGAACAGACGCCGTGATGGCCACTAGCCACACAACAACACTGGCAAGGCTGCCGTAGCTGACGGTTCTTGCTTTCAAGGCAAACACGACGTGAACGACGGCGAGATACCGGTCGATGCTCATGAGCATAATGAAGAAGATCCCGCTGAAAAATCCAATCTTGTACACCCAAGAGACAAATTTACACAAGCCGTCTCCAAACACCCACTTGTCGGCCACGTAATACGACCAGAAGGGAAGAGCGAAGACGAAAAGAAGGTCAGAGATGGCAAGGTTGAGCAGGTAGATATCCGTCATGCTTCTCAGCCTCTTGTATTTGAACAGGACCAAGACAACGAGGGCATTCCCTGCCAAGCCAAGCAGGAACACGAGTGAGAAAAACGTGGGAAGGAACCAGGACTCAAAATGCCTCACTTCATCTTTTCTGCATGGTTCAGGATCATCTTCGTAGCTATAATAGGTGGAAAACGATGCGTCCCACACTGTGGCAGCCAATGCTTCGTCAGTAGAGGTCATTTTCTTTTTGGTACCTAAATAGAAGGATGAAGTGAGTCCAAATTGAAAGGTTCCCCCACCCAGGGTAACGTACAGCAAATCCTTGTCTGTTCAGAAATATAACCTTATTGAATGCAATGGGGCTTACTGCTAGATAAATGGGTTATGGCTACAGCCATAAATTGCAATCCTGTGCACACCTATCTGAGAAGTAATCCCATGGAAAGTGGAATTTACTTCTGTATAAACTTCTAAAGATTGCACTATTAATGATTATTTTGAGCAAAGATTTAAAAAACAGAATGAGAATGCAGGAGTGAGAAGCCTACAGCTCCACAGAGAGCTGATTGCCAGGGATTCCTAAGGATTTCTAAAAAAGAATTTAGATTTTTAAATATTTCTTTTAAATAAAACAATGGAAACTTGGCAATACAGTGGTACCTCAGGTTACATACGCTTCTGGTTACATATGCTTCAGGTTACAGACTCCACTAACCCAGAAATAGTGCTTCAAGTTAAGAACTTTGCTTCAGGATGAGAACAGAAATTGGGCTCTGGCGGCGCGGCAGCAGCAGGAGGCCCCATTAGCTAAACTGGTGCTTCAGGTTAAGAACAGTTTCAGGTTAAGTACAGACCTCTGGAACGAATTAAGTACTTAACCTGAGGTACCACTGTAGATAAATGTATTTTTGCTCAATGGCCAGTTTTTGATCAACGAGGGGCTAAGAAACTTTTGGCTTATCTTTCTTAATCTTATGCTTCTCGTTGCTTTATAGGTTTGGCAATTATTTTCAGGAACTTTTCACCTCTTTCATAAATATCTAGAGCATAACTATTTTTAGTGCTGAATCTTGCTGAGAGATAGAGCATATGCAATGGCTAACCCACACAGACTGCTTCCAACTGCTCCTACTTGGAGCTTGTTTCAGGGCTCGCAATTTCGTTTTGAAGGGTTCTGCCGGACAGAGAAACAGTTTGATGTCTGTCATTAATTCACCTTGCTGTACTCATAGTTTTTACCACCCAGCAGTATATCCATTCTATGAAATAAAGAAATAAACAGACGGAAATACCCAATGAAACCAGTAAGGGCATGGTCTCAGCAGTGACCTCTTCATATTACCATATGGTAAGGATGTCAATGGGTCAGATAAAGGATTTCTCCAGAGCCTGTAGCAGAAGGTTGACATGTAGGACTCTACAGATCAAAACTTTTAATGGCACGGAAATCGACACTGTCACATACTAATATGTATGTGGTAGCATGTCAACCTGCTACCACAAGTGCAGTTCAGAAACCAGAAGCAGAAGCTGTCCACCCGCTGCATGGGGGAAATCTGTAGCTAATAATCCCCTCCTTGTGAAAAGGATGTCATGTGCATCCACTGGCAAATGCAGGGTTCGTGGGTGTTTGGAAAACGCTGTTTTTTCCAGAAGCTAAAAATCAACTGCTATGCATGACAGTTTATGCACATGACCAGGTGAGTACAAATGGTTCATCAGAGGTTACGGCTACCATGTGCAGATTTTTCCAAAGGCTTTTTTTGTGTGGATACTCACAAACCACCCACTTATCAAGTGAGTAGACTTAGCTGTCTTTTACCTTGCATGCACACTTTTATTTTATGAACAAAGAGAACCAATGTACATAGAAATTACCCTATTTTTCGCTCTATAACACGCACCTGACCATAACATGCACATAGTTTTTAGAGGAGGAAAACAAGAAAAAAATATTCTGAATGAAACAGTGGATGTATGATTTTTGTGCTTCATGCTGTGGCCACAGTTGTTAACCTCGAGGAAGTGGCTCTGTAAAGGAGCTATGCTTTGCTGAACTGTGTATCTACCTAATTCTCAGGTTTTGTCCACTTACCCTTGTGCACACTTACATATGAATAAGGCTGCAGTTAGGGATAGAAAGATCTGCCACTCTCAGTTTCTCATTTCTCTACATTTTAAATCAATTACCGTAGCTTTTTTTTAAAAAAAATTGCCATGAAAATTCACCCATTTATGGGTTTGAATTTCTCCTAATAAACATTTTTATATGCAGTTTTGACTCATGTGCACATTTTTGCAAGCTGTTTTTGCTAATTTAACACATTTTTATACACACCTGCCCCACACACAGGCATTTTTGTAAACCTTGTTTGCTCCGAAAACTGCATTGCAAAATTCAGATAAGTGTGACTTTCGAGGGATAGCTCTTCTTTCAGTTGGCGTATTGTCTTGGAAAGCGCAGATTTGGCAGATTTGACTTTAAACGCATCCCGAATCAAATTTATATGCTATCCCTAGCTGTATTCCTTGACTGATCTCAGTAGGACTTACTTCTCAGTTGACGTGCATTGGATGGTACTGAAAACCCCCATATTTCCAAAGGAACATGAATAGGATCAGGCCACAAACAAAAAATAAAGATCCATTTACATACATTTCAGTTAATACAATTACAGTGTAAATATCCCTTACTGTAAGTATATTTACATTTGCAAGCTTCCCTTGCTCCATCACACATTATTATATACAATTGTGTGTGTGTCATTCTTTTAAGTAATGAAATAATGCAGCAGCATAAAAATTGTGCAATCATCTTATGACAGCAATGGTCAAAGTACATATGAGGCATATTTTACACATACCTTTTTGCCTTTCTTAGATGCTGAGAAGTGTCTTGCCTGAGGGTGATGTACCTTCTGTTCTCTAAGGAAGTGGTGTACTTTGTGAGATAAACAGAAGTCAGCGAATGAGGAAGTGTAGTGGCATGGAATGATCCACGTAATTGCTTCTGGTTCTTGTGAAGATTAAATTATAATCTGACCTTTTAAAATTAGTCGTCATAGCAAGCATCACCGCCCACCTCTGAGCCTGTGTCTTCAAGCCCTTTTGCACTGCGGAGGCACTGCTTTTCTGAAATTGGCAGGAGGTGGAATGGAAACAGGGGTTCAATAGGCTGCACCTTTGCCATGAGTCCTGTTGCCTAACATTTTCTTCTATCATATATTCAGAAATAGTTGAATTGAACAAATTAAAATGCCTTATAGTTCACAGCCTTCACCGTACTCCTTTAGGTGCCTACTGAAAACATTTTTGTTTAGACAATCTTATCCAGACACAGGTGGCGCTGTGGGTAAAAGCCTCAGCGCCTAGGGCTTGCCGATTGAAAGGTCGGCGGTTCGAATCCCCGCGGCGGGGTGCGCTCCCGTTGTTTGGTCCCAGCGCCTGCCAACCTAGCAGCTCGAAAGCACCCCCGGGTGCAAGTAGATAAATAGGGACCGCTTTGTAGCGGGAAGGTAAACGGCGTTTCCGTGTGCTGCGCTGGCTCACCAGATGCAGCTTGTCACGCTGGCCACGTGACCCGGAAGTGTCTCCGGACAGCGCTGGCCCCCGGCCTCTTGAGTGAGATGGGCGCACAACCCCAGAGTCTGTCAAGGCTGGCCCGTACAGGCAGGGGTACCTTTACCTTTACCTTTATCCAGGCATGTAGCATGTTTCAATCCGTTTTTTGTTTATGGATGATTTTATCTTTCGAAGAATTGTTTTTTAAAAAATTAGTAGATTGAGTCGAGCTGGAGCTAATTAAGGCTTTCTCTGAGACTTTCCAGGGCTTTCTCTAAAACGTTTAGCTTAAACTTGTGATTATAAGAAAAAGATACCAAGCAATAAAATACTAGAACTGATAAAAGCTAATAAAAAGCTGATAAAACTAGTAAAAACTAATAAAAACCGCATAACAGACACGGAGCTCAAATCGATGCTTCCTCTAACGACGCCAATTAATTATGCAATCAATCTGTTTTTAGTTTATGGATGATTTTATATTTCGAGGAATTGTTTTTTAAAGAATTGGATGTTTTTTAATAACAATTTCTACTGATGATTTCATTCTTTAATTCTCTCTGAGGGTTGGTTTGTTGGTTTGTTTGACAAATGAATGACTAGTTTGAGCCGTTAATTTCCATCGTTCACCTTTATGTGCTGTGATCATCAAAATAATAATGATGAAGAGGATGACAAAACATTCATTCAACAACACTGTGTTTTATTATCCGATGATGATAATGATGGAACAACAAAAGCATTCAGCAAAGCACACAGATTGCAGTACTACAATGATTATTGATTATGATATTGGTGGCAACATCTCCAGAGTAAATGGGGAACTGAGAAACACACACACAGAGGCTGCAATTCTAACCCTACCACTACAATGATGATGATATTGTTAAAGAATCTCTTTCAAACTAAACAGGGAATTGTGCAACTAGTATCAGAGAGCAACAGCAGCCCTGAGCAAGGAACAACCACCCTCTCATTTCTGCAGAAGCCTCCAAAATTATCTCTCCTCCCACCACAAGTATTCTGACATAAGTGGGTGGTATTCAATGCTACTTCCACTCAGAGTAGATCCTTTGATGTCAACAGTGGCGTAGTGTGGGGGAACCCACAGGTAAGGTTGTCCTGGGCGCAAAATTGTTAGGGGCACAAAACTTCAGCACCCGGGTGCTACCTCAATACAGCTGAGCAATTCCGTTGCTGGGCTCCATTCAAAACAATTTCAACATACGAACCAGGAAGTGACCTTTCCAGGCAACAGAACGACTCTTTTTTTCTTATCTCTGCAGCTGCGATCTCCTGGGTGACATGGACACCGCTAAGCAGCTGAATATGCATGTGTACTTGGTCCGATACCCTCTCTCACACACAGCTCTCCATGCAGCCCCGGGAGCTGGCAACACACGCTACGTCACTGGACATTAATAGCCATGAAGTATGGCATCCCGACCAAGGGAAAATATAGTTCCTCTCTGTTCTGCCTTGGTCAGACCACACCTGGAATACTGTGTCCAATTCTGGGCACCACAGTTTAAGAAGGATGTTGGCAAGCTGGAATGTTTGTAGAGAAGGGCAACCAAGGTGATTTAGGGTTTGGAAACCAAGCCTTATGAGGAACGGTTGAAGGATCTGGGTATGTTTAGCCTGGAACAGAGGAGACCAAGAGGACATATGATAGCCAT